TAAACATTAAAAAAATAAAAATACAAAAATTAAAAAAAATAAGAGAATACTCAAAAAATAAGGTAAACAATAAAACGAACAGAATTTGAGGCACATGGCTCCTTGACAATTGTGATATTTTGTTCAAAGTGATTTCACAGTAAACCCCCGTAAATTACTCATTTTACCTCCCTGTGCCTCAATTTCCTCCTCCGCTGAATGGGAAAAATAACAATGTCTACCTCTTTGGCTAATCGTGAACCTTAAACAAGGCTGTGCCTGTATGTCACTTCAAGGAATTCCGAATAAAAATGTCTTCAGTAAACATTAGTTACCATCAGTGCTACTGCCATTATTCTGATTAACAGGGATGACTGAAAGCGCCCAGAAAATATCAATCCTGAGACTAAATCCAGCACTCACAGTCATAGAATAATTTCCCCCCACTTTTAAATCAAGGATAATTCGGAAATTCAGATAAATATCAATTCTCATGATCTGGGTAAAATGTTTTCCTACAAGCACATGCACACACACACACACACACACACACACACACACACAGAGTTCCCTTTCAGACTTACTGAAACAGACATTAAGCACCAATACATGTAAGTTCTACAAATGGCCGCATATTGTACGTGAACAGCAAGCCTGAAGTGATTTCACTGTGATCGCCTGATACAATCCAAACCCACATGTCCTTGGAGTAGGTACAGAAAGGGGCTGGCATCACTAACCTACCCAACGGCTCATGTCATCCACTCCAGCAAACCATTTTCAATCTTTCTAGTTGTTGTACAGTTGTACATTTTGAATCAAGGACCATAAGACATCCACTTCAAGACTGGCCAACATATGCTTTCAGTATTCAACTTACTAGACCATTTCTACATAGTTTTATCTATAAAGAGAGGCTACAGGCAATACGACCTTATATGCCTTTGAGCAACTTTGCATCTGTTTGTCAAACTGGAAAGAATAGTACACAATTTAAGAAAAACATAATTTGGGGGGAGGGGGCGCCTGAGTGGCTCAGGCAGGTAAGCGTCTGATTCTTGGTCTCCTCTCAGGTCACGATCTCACGATTTGTGAGATTGAGCCCCACATTAGGCTCCTAGCTGTCAGTGTGGAGTCTGCTTGGGATTCTCTCTCTCCCTCTCTCTCTGTCCCTCCCTGCTCATTCTCACTCTCAAAATAAATTAAAAAAAAACAAAAACAAAAACAAAAAACAGAACAAAACAAAACTTAAAAAAAAAGTAATTTGGTGATGCTGAGGGACTCTAGTTAATTTTTTTTTAATGTTTATTTATTTTTGAGAGAGACAGATCACGAGCAGGGGAGGAGCAGAAAGAGGGAGACAGAATCCAAAGCAGGCTCCAGGCTCCGAGCTGTCAGGACAGAGCCCAACGCAGGGCTCGAACTCACAAACCGTGAGATCATGACCTGAGCTGAAGTCAGATGCTTAACCGACTGTGCCACCTAGGAGCCCCACTTTTTATTTTTTATGAATATCACAACACGGCAAAGGCACAAAGGATTTTTTTTTTTTTTGGTGTCACCAGAATAGAAACAGAAAAGAAACACCTTCTAAGACTATTTAATAGTAAGCTCAAAATAAGCTATTTATAATGACTCATAGGATCATGAACCAAGACTAACTTTACTAAAGTCTAACTTTACTAATTTACCAAAGCAAGTCTAACTTTACTAAAATGCAGTACTTAAAAAATACTTATCCCTATCACACAGTGCAAGGTAGCAAAGTATCTACAAACAAATAGATATTGCAGGGCCTTCCATCTAAAATCAATCTTCCTTCTAATTCCTTGTCAGTATATATGTTTTTCCATCTTTACTTTTATTATTAGTGGCGATTTCTGCTCCTATGCTTAAACCCAAAATATGATTGAGTAAAAACTACACATAAAATGCATATACTTGTTCTTTCTTATAAGGTAACAACCCCGGATTTCAATAACATTGACATAACACTTACCATTTATGAGGTATTCCCCTAACTCAAGAAACCAGTTCACCATCGCCAGAGTCCCATAATGCATTCGTTAATACCTTCATTTTACAACTGAGGTTAAGTGGCTTACCCAAACTCCTGCTTCTATAAATTACCAGAGACAAGAGGCAGAGCCAGATCTTCAGGTCACAAATCCCACCAGACCACACTCCTCTGTGGACCATTATTTGAACCCACAATTGATAGCACATTTGAAATCACGGTTAAAAATTAACTAAAGAGATTTCACAATCGCTAGGCAGTGCCGTGCTGTTTATGTTCGTTATTTTAATTAATATTCAACACAACAATGCGAAATATGAGCTTTATTTGTGGCATCTTACAGATAAGAAATTTCTCAAAATTACAAAGCTAATAAATACTGCACTTGGGAATAAAACCCTTGTATCTCTGCACCCAGATTCTGTTCACTGTAGTTACGATGTCGGAGAATTATGGGAACTCGTTTCAGACATTTTTTTTCATGGGCCTTCATGGAAAATTATTTACTAAATTGTTGAAAGTGAAGGTTATATGAGAAAACTGTTGTTGTTGTTGTTGTTGTTGTTGTTGTTGTTGTTGTTATTGAGTTGCTAAACACATGGTGATGATAGGCATTATGAGGTTTATCTTCCGGGTTCCTATCACCAAGGATCCTAGTGAACTGAGGAGTTAGATGTGGGTTAAGGAATCCAAAGAGGGAAGAGAGTGACCATGTAGATTTCACACACTATATAAAAATTAGCTCGTAAGAAGTAGGAGGCTTTGCAGACAAAATCTGCAAGAAGAGGCCAGTGCAGCCAAGTGGTTGGAGATGATGCCACATAACTCTGCAATGAGGAAATCATTTGCCAGGTATCTGTTGGGGGTAAGTGTTATGCACGGAAGAACACAAATACAGGCCAGGCTGTGGAGAACAATTCTAAGTGTGGGGATCATATTAAGTGGGATTGAGGAAAAAGAATGAGTAATGAAAGAATGAGACTTTGAGAAATGAGACATCGCGGCCAGAAATAAGTCAAGGTCATGGATATCCTTGGAGTCAAGTAATGTTAAGTAGTGGGGAATAAAATGGAGTCTTTTATGATCATTTATCCCTCTGGATTGGATCATGCATAAGAGTAGGATTAGCTGAAAGTCAGAAAGGCTTGAAGCCAGAAAGTCAGAGCACTACAAGAAAGACATTTCATTAATCTAAATATATTAGTTAGCCAGGGTCTAGACAAGGACTTTATGGATCAGAAAGTAAAGGAGGAGGTAATTTAACACAACAGAAATTGGAATGACCATAGCAGATTTAAGATAAGAAGCGTCAAATTTAAACCCTATTTGCATTTGAAAAAAGTGTAATAGATTTTAATAATAAATAAAAACCATAGCAGCTCATTCAATTTTTTTTTTTTTTTTTTTTTTTTTTTTTTTTGCCAGCCTGCCTCCCTTGTGGGGATTACATAAAAAGTAAGATCGGTCATATTTTTTACTACTTCTATGCCGGGGCATAAAGACGGTCTATTTGCTGTGTCAGTGATGAACTTAGCTTCCAAAAAGTGTAAGGCGATAAAAAGGAAAAAAGGATTTGATCAGATCTGTTCACAATGCTGATGGATTAAGATACTGATTTTTTTTTTTTAACGTTTATTTATTTTGAGACAGGGAGAGACAGCATGAATGGGGGAGGGTCAGAGAGAGAGGGAGACACAGAATCCGAAACAGGCTCCAGGCTCCAACCTGTCAGCACAGAACCCAACGCGGGGCTCGAACTCACGGACCGCGAGATCATGACCCCAGCCAAAGTCGGACGCTTAACCGACGGAGCCACCCAGGCGCCCGGATACTGATTTTTAATTTGAATATTAACTCTGCATTCTACAAGCTATATCTGTAGCGTATTGCCTGTCTGGACAAATAGTACCTACTAAGTTATTTTTAAAGCTCTTCAAAATTGCACTGAAGTCATGAATTTCGTAGTGCCCTCCACCCAGTATTTATTTTTTTTTTCCCATCATTCAGATTAGCATCTGGGGGCTTCAAGGGCTTTTATTTATTTGTTTATTTGAGAAAGAGAGAGAGGAGAGTGAGAGAGAGTGGGGGAGGAGCAGAGGGAGAGAGAGAGAGAAAGAGAGAGAATCTTAAGTAGGTGCAGGGCTCCACGCAGGGCTCGATCCGACAACCCTGAGGTCATTTGCAGGCATGGCGGGGCCTTGCGATCTCTAGAGGTCTGACAGACACTGTGGAATCCCCTTAACTTTCTACTTCCACTTGCCTCTGAGAAATCCCACAAAACTGCAGAGGAAAAAATTCAGTCTGTGTCATCTAAATTAAATATAGCATAACCAAGGGGTGCCGGGGTGGCTCAGGCCAAGCGTCTTACTTCGGCTTGGGTCACCAACTCGCAGTCTGTGAGTTCGAGCCGTCCTTTGGGCTCTGTGCTGACAGCTCAGAGCCTGGAGTCTGCTTCAGATTCTGTGTCTCCCTCTCTCTCTGCCCCTCCCCTGTTCACGCTCGGTCCCTCTGTCTCTCTCTCAAAATAAATAAACATTAAAAATTTTTAAAAAAGATAGTATAACCAAGTATCAAAATAAATGGACAATAATAACAGTTTTATATACTCTTGACACAAATATGAAGGCCCTAGGGAATACCCCCTCACCCTTCCGAACACACGGATGACACAGAATGACATTAATATGTATCTACTTTCTTTCTGCAAAAAGAGGGCATGAGAGGTCCGTGACGATGTCAATATCAAACGAGAATAAGGAGAAATGTTGAAATTACAAATTTTTCTTAGAAACAAACAAAAAAATGGTTTTCCAAAAAAATACAGCTTTGTAAATCACATTGAAAAACTGCCAAGAAAATATAAAACTCTCAATTTATCACATTATTTGTCTACCTATCATATTTCATCATCTTGAATTGCTATTATTACCACTACTAACACGTATTTTTAATTGTGTATTGAGGAAAAAGTACCTAAATGCTGTTTGGGTTGATGTTGGCCCCTTAATCCTTAATTCTGCATTACACACTAACAACAGAAACAACAACAAAGTAATGGTGTGTTGGATCAAATCTCCAGTTCAGAAAACCCAGACCTAAATTTCAGTATTCATTTTAAATATTGCATTATTAAATCTTTACAAATCTCCTGCATGGTAAATAGCATTATTTTCGATTTAACCTGATAAAACAAAATCTAAAAGAAGTCAAAATGCTTACCCAAGGTCACACAGCGGGATTGTTGACGACACCGGGGAGGACACAGGTTTCCTGAGCTCCTGTGTCCATATTCACGCACAGGGCCTCCCTCTACACAAAGGCTGGCCTCCCTCCCTCACTGCAGGGCTTGGGAGATGGGACCAGACGCAGAGGCTGAGCCTCTGCTGGGCTCTCCACCACGTCTCCATGAAGTAACAGTCAAGTTTGCTTTTTACGATGTGATAAATTCAGTGGGTCGGCCGTTGTCCAGGACTGTCGGGGAATGGAATAAAGTAGTCTGAGGATTTGAAGGCACACGTGTTAGGAGGCCAATAGGGCCTCAAGGCCAAGGCTTATTCTCCAATATAACTTTTATTAGAGATAGCTCAGCTGTTTTAATCCCAGGTCTCTGATCCGCCATGTCAGTTTCTTGATTGGCTACAATCTTGGGAGGAAGGAAGAACATGAGTGACTGGCCGCCTTCCCAAACCTTTCAGAAACTTCACTAATAGAACTAGGACCAAACCCAGGTTGTGTGACTCCAAGTAAAGGGACATTTAGGGAACACTGCTGTCATTCTATGATTAGGAATGAAATTCAAGTGTAAATATGAAGGCAATTTCTGCGGAAAAGGTATATGCATATGATAGAAAGTAGTAACGTTTAAAGACTTGTAAAATAGTAGCTAGTAATTATTACTACTGGAAATATTCATAACGGTCAAGGTTAAGAGAATTGAACTCTGATGTAATATACTCCTTAGCATTATTTTTTTTTCAAAACCAACACGAAGTACAAATACACACAGAGAACAAGAGATCAAGTGTAAGAAAGAGAAGAGAGCATTAACTGTTATTAACATTATTTCTTTCAGGAGGTAGGGTTTCAGTTAACTTTTTAAAATTGTTAGCTTTTCTTTCAGTTTTCTGGTTTTCCTCAATACTCTGCACTGACCATTTACTTTTTTGTATAATTAGATATATATTTTTCTCCTTTAAATTTTAATAGCTTTGTGGAAGCTATTAAAAGCTTTGTGGCACCACTTTCAGGTGCCTGTTCGGCATCTAGTCATTCACAACTCCTTCCTTACTAACAGTTTCCTACTTTTTGTATAATGTTGCAATGTACCCAATTTAAAATATTTATCTTCCCAGAACGTCTCGCAGATAAGGTTTGCCAAAATGTGCGAATAGCGATATGTTAATATAAGTAACTGCTGACATATGTCTTCTAGGCTTTTGCATTTTATCCTTTGCTCTCCTTAACCTCCTTCCTGTGAGGAAGATGGCCAGAGATGTACTAGTCATGTTGCTAACATGAGAATGAGAAGCTGTAAGCTAAGCAAGAAATTAGAAGAAATCTGTGTCCTTGATAACATCATCAAGGCTTTGCACAAGCCTGTACTACCTACATTTGTGAGGGGGGAAAAATAGCTCTCTACTTTGTAAAGTACTCTGGACGGATTTGCTTTCTATGTAACCAATAGTCGTAACTGACACAAAGCAAGAGAAGAAAAACTTTCACTTGCATTCAACTCTGAGCTGTAAATGGAGATGGTACAAAGCCCCTAAATCCAGTAGGCATTTGAATCAAGTGGTTAAAAAAAAGATAAAAGGATCCCAGAAGACTTCCAGAATGGGGATTTTCTCCCAGCATCCTCACCGTATTTCAAAACTTTGGGTACCAAAAGTCCTTAATGAACATGCATTAGCGTTCATTTCAACGTCAACCTCAGGAGTTAGGCTTTCCTTATGAGCTGTCAAATGTTATGCAATCGGATATGTTTTCTTTCTGTTCCAAGGACTGAAAACAAAAATTTTCATGTAGTAAGACATTTTATGTCAAGTGACTTTAAAAGCAACATTATATGTTCCCAAATAGAATTTTAGGACTTAAAAGTAGGGGCATGAATGAAATACTGTCAAGAGAAAAGAGAATTTTCACCACTGAACATGGCTCATCTCTGGAATATCTGTGAGATTCAAGCAAATAGGATTTATGCCTTTGATTTTCCTCAAGACTTAATCTGCCTCTATACGTCATTCTTACCCTGGGTCATTTCAAATGTAACCTCTGTTGCAAAAATATCCATTTCTTTTCTCTTACCTTTCTGGAATATTGAAACAAGTTTCTGGCATTGTCAGCATGTAGTAGACCCTTGTAGACATGACTAAAACACCCAGCACTAAAAGCCATTCCACGAAAATGGAGGAAGCATCTTTCTAAATGATGGTTCAACAAACCATTACAAAATAGAACCTCCTCTGTCTCTGGAAGTGATCAGACAGGTTCAAAAAGAATATTTGATGATATGCCAAGCCAGCACATTGCTGTGATTATACAGGGAATGCCCGCACCCCAAACAGCCAGACTTTTCTTCTCAATTATAGACCAGCTGCCACCCATAGTGAGCCTGATTTAGCACAAGATCAAAAACCCCAACTCCCTCTACCTGGGTTCAGTGACATTTCACAGTGGTGCAGAACCCAGGTAAAACCATTAAAAACATGTTTTTGGGCCCATGTCAAGAAGAAATTGAGACCTAGGGCTGTGTTTCCCCTACCTTTAGACATTTTCTTATATTAAATGACTGGTCCATTTAGAAATCTCACTGAAGTGTTGAAAACAAGCTGCCTGCTTTGTAATTCATTTATAAGTTCATCCATTGAGCAAATACCTATTGAGAAAATATAATTAAAATGTTAGGATTAAAATGTTATACTAAGCTTCTTATCCTGCTTCAGATGCTAACATTATGTTTTTTGTTGGTTTTTATTGTTCCTTCAGACAAATTTGGTCCTCCACACACTGTCATACACCTGTTTTGTGAAACTAAGGAGAAGCCAGCTACACTGTCACTCCGTTCAATTCCATGTTTCATGTTATCAGTACTCAAGGTACCCAAACTATATTTTCTACTATTTTATATATTGTAGAACAACACACAAAGCCGTAAGTTCTTACGCATGTGCTAACCAAGCTGTAGCACCATGTCTATGTTATTGTGCAGGGATGCAATGTATCATTAATGAAATAATAGAATCTCAGAATGGACGCACAAGGTTATCCAGTTGACAGCACTCTTTCACAACATATCAAAAAGCAGTGCTTTCAACTGCTGGATGGATAACATCGTTTTCAAAAGATAGGACGCTGCATTGATGTCTACACCTGAGAGTTCCTGTTCTTTTTTTTTTTTTAATTTTTTTTAACGTTTATTTACTTTTGAGATACAGAGAGACAGAGCATGAACAGGGGAGGGTCAGAGAGAGGGAAATACAGAATCTGAAACAGGCTCCAGGCTCCGAGCTGTCAGCACAGAGCCTGATGCGGGGCTCGAACTCACGGACCGTGAGATCATGACCTGAGCTGAAGTCGGACGCTTAACTGACCAAGCCACCCAGGCGCCCCGTGAGGGTTCCTGTTCTGAAAAGTTTAAATGTTCTTTCATGTAACACCCTGAAATATTTTGTGAAAACAGCTCCTTCCACACCTGTCAATCCTTCCCCACCTGTCAATCCTTCCCCACCCCAGTCTCAACCAGCTTACCTCCTGGTAGAGAGGAGTCTCCTCAGTTCTCTCAAATGATCCTCATAGGAGATGATCTCCTAGCCCATCGTCATCCTTCTTCTCTGGATGTGTTTAAATTAGTTCGTGAATGTCCTTCTTGAAGCGCAAATGCAGCTTGTAGGTGGGATGCGTCAAGTTCATGGAAGAGTGAGAATATTCTTGTCTCCCTCACTGGCTCTATTCCTCATCAGGCTGGCTTCACTCACATTGGCATTCTTGTCCTCCCTCACTCTCTGTTGTCTGATATTAAGCCTTCAGCCAAATAAGACTTATATCCTTCTTACAAAGGCTGGTATTGATCTATATATAACCCACCTATATTAACCAGAGTTTATCTTTTGGACTTAGTGTGGAGTGTTACATACAGGATATTTCATTTCCTTAGCGGGATTCTATTCTTTACGTTTTCAAAATCTTCTCAATTTCTGAAATGTTTTCATGTGAGTCTGATAATTTCATGACCGCTCAAAAACAAAAAACAAAAACAAAACACTCTCAAAAATACCTAAGACGATACCTGACAAGGGGAATATTCTCAGGGTAGGATTTAATTCCCTCACCTGATTTTTCCAGACGCAACTCCAGATTAGAAATTGGAGTTCAGAATGGTATCTCTGTGTCCTGAGATACCACGCCCTCCTACCCTCCTTTTAGGTACTGCAGAAAAGGAAAATAATCTAAGTCACATTTTAAACAAATTTTTAACATTTATTTTATTTTTAAGAGACAGAGATAGAAAGAGATAGAGAGAGCTTGAGTGGGAGATGGGCAGAGAGGAATGGAGACACAGAATCCAAAGCAGCTCCGGACTCTGAGCTGTCAGCACAGAGCCTGATGCGGGGCTCAAACCCACAAGCTATGAGATCATGACCCGAGCCGAAGTTGGATGCTTAACTGCCTGAGCCACTCAGGCACCCTTAAGTCACATTTTTTTGTAGTGAACCAGAGATCACATCATCTACTAGGAAAGCTTCAGGATTGGTGTAAGAGTCAAAGGTGGTAGTATTTGCAGAACGTTATTGAAAATTTTACACTTTAAGCAATTATAAGTTAACTGTCTTTCCAGGAAAGTGATCTGCTTCCTGTACGATGTTTCTCAGCCTTTTTAATTTAGGACCCACACTATTAATTAGCACTATATTAAAAGTGTTTATCACATCTCAGAAATAAACCCATGCTTATAAGCTCAACTAGTGTACCACAAAGGAGGCAAGAATATGCAATTGGGAAAAGACACTCTCTTCAACAAATGAGGCTGGGAAAACTGGACAGCCACACGCAAAAGAATGAACCTGGACCACTTTCTTACACCACACACAAAAATAAACTCAAAATGCATGAGAGACCTAAATGTGAGAACTGAAACCATAAAACTCTTAGAAGAAAACATAGGCAATAATTTCTTTGGCATTGGCCATGGAAACATTTTTCTAGGTATGTCTCTTTGGGCAAGGGGAACAAGATTAAAATTAAACTGTGATTCAGTTCTCATCTGAAATCCTTCTTTGAAATGGGGGCAGGGAAAAAGAAGAAACAGTCATGCTACAGAACGAGTGTGCCAGGGACAAAATAACGTGAAGAGGGTATAAAGAGGGAATGCAGTTAACGAAGGGATAGAAATGCTATGTGTTTTCTGGGTTGTAAGAAGTAGAAGCAAATCAACCCACATCCTGAATACCAGATCCTCTCTTTGAACTTAATTTGGATCATGACACCGAATGGTGCACACTGGCCATTTTTTCACTGATACTAAGTCAGATCAACCGACGCATCCCTATGGGAACCACTTCCATCATCCGGGAAAATGGGAAGCGCAAATGATGATTATGAGATTCCATTTGGCAATTTCAATACTGCGTGAACATGTGGGTCAAGATTATACCCAGATTGACTTACAGCAGAAATGTGATATGTTCACTTTGTCTTCTGGCATCTGACAGGTTAATCGCTTTCTTATATTGCTTATATATTAATATGCATCATTTATAAATATATGAACATCAATGTTTGTGTTTACATATGTAATTCACTTGTACCAAACTAGTAATGTGGGAAAAATTCTAATAGAGGTTTAATCTGTATGCTCCCTTGAGAACTTCAGAAAGGCAGAACAAGACATCAAGATACTTATTTATTAATAGGCTTGAGGTAGCATGAATTAAATAATGAAAAACAGGAAAGGGATATTAGAAGGTGTGCAACATGCGAAGCATCAACATAAATGAACAGAAGGAAGGAGAGTCGTAACATTATAGATGGTCTGAATTTCTGCTTATTTATTTACACTGTCTGAAAAAACACGGTAACAAAGAATGCATACCACTGGCACTGTTTGCAGCGGCATGAATAAGATGCATAAATAATGGATGACAACAGACGCACAAGAGCAGTGCCTTGGTAAATGAGTAAGGCACAGACAACAGGAAGGCTTTAATGGTCTAATGTACCTATCATTTCCATCTCTTCAGAGACAAATTTGTTTTCTTAGTTTTCTCTTTCTTTCCCTGAAAAGGGGTTTGACATTAGCAGTAAGAGCAGTACCCCTTATGTATTATTTTCCTTCAAAATGATCTTTCGGTTCAATTCCAAAGCATTATGAGTGGGTGTTAGATCCGTATTGATTACGTCTCCATGTACCTTACTGAAATGCATTAAAATGAAAGTGTTAGAGTCACTAAAGTTTGGTTGAACTAAGGAATTTCATATTTTCTTAAACGGATACACAGAAATAAAGAATATAACGTGTATGTAACGTAAAGTTTATTCTATGATTCAATGTCTAATTTAAGTCTGGCAATGCTTAATCAAAAATGATTAGAATGCAACATTAGACATTTAGCAAGACACATTAAAAATCAAAAGACATTTTTGTTCTGTGTTAACTTTGACAATTTTTAAATTAATTGTCCTTCCATATCCTATTTCTTTAGAAATCCTTTAAATAACAATAGAAAACAGTCATAAAAATTTATTTTGCCCAAGATTCTACTTCCCCTACAATTCATTACTAAAAAGTCTGTTAGAGAGTACAGATTGAGGATTAAGACAAAGAAACTAACAGTAGGAAATTGGTAACAAATGTCTAGTTTATGATATGGTTAAAGAATATTTGAAATTTCTTTGAGCAAACATACAGTTGATTTATATTCTAAGACTATTCATCGGAGTTATAATTATGTTAAAATAATTCATTCTTTAATTTTTCAAGACTGACAAATCAGTGTACGAATTTCAAGGTATACGACTGAAATAAAATATGAGATTGATTACTTTAAACACTGGTTTGAGGAAAAAAAACCAGGAAAATGTCTATTTTCAAAACAAATTTTTTTTGTGACACCATATTGCAAAGTTTTACATTGACTTACCAGAAACCTACTAGAGTAAAGGAAAACTCTTGTGTATTTTAGGACTAGGCCATATCTGTAAAACTATAACTAAAAAAGATGAGGAGAAAGAATAATCACTCTATCCAATATTATAAAATCTGTACATACATTTAGTCTACCGAATATAAATCTGGAAATATTAAAACAAAATAAATATTCTAATTCACCAATGATCATATGCATATGCAAATTAATATATTAATTATTTTTAAGGTCATCCAAAAGTACCATAAAAGTGAATAAATCTTATGGAAATATAAATTAATATCTCTAGGGCATTGTTGACGGCATGAGAAAACTACAAAGCAATCAAAAACATTTAATCAATATGTTATAATTTAGACATGAATATTTTGTTTTGCCACTGAGTATCTTATAATAGCAGAAAGTTATGAGTCATACTTATTGTAGCAAGTACGTCATAACAGAGATGGATTTATTTGCACCCCAGACGGATTTTATTTTCCTCCAAAGTACGTGGTCCATCCAAGCTCAAAGTAGAATGGTACCAGATCTACTTTTGACCTTACCTCTATTCAAAGACTTAAATTAATACACATTTATGTGGAAAACTATTAAATGAAATTAAACCTAAGTCAGTCACAGGATAAACGTCACACATGTTATTCTTAAAATAGCTTTGTATCATCTGTCCTGCTTGAAGCTATTATTACCTGGAAGAAAACCTACAGGCAATAATTCACTTATATTTTTTAAATAAATGTAATTTTATAGTATAATTTTTAATGCTCAGATTGCCTTGAACACTCGAGATGAAGAAAAGGACATACAATATTGACTTATCATAAAAGTCTCTGGCTTTTATGGTCATTTATGGTCAGATATTGGTCATTTTTTTTCTTTCTTTTTCTTTTTTCTCTTTCTTTCTTTCTTTCTTTGTGTGTGTGTGTGTGTGTGTGTGTGTGTGTGTGAATCCTCACAGCCTGCTTCCTACTTTATGCAAGACTTTGTGCTACATGGAGTCCCATCTCTCCCTTAAACAAATAAACAAAAACAGTGTGTGGTCTCTTCCTTCCTATGCCCTTTGAAGTCAAAATGAAATCAGAAAATCCCAAAGGCAACTGAATGTATCTTACCATCAAGTATTTTGAAACTTGAGTGGATGATATAAAAATGAAAGTTTAAGGTTTGCATCTGAGGTTTAGTAGTCCAGTAAGTGATGTCCTAGGAAGGCTGAATCTGGTGGCCACATTCTCTGAATCTTGCCGTATATCCCCATTTCACTGAACCAGTTTCTAATTCTTTCCTGTTCAGTGTCTTAACCTTTAAGTAACCTTTATCTCTCAGAGTCCTTGAATGGAAGAGCAATTAATTTTTATTAGCATAAGCAGAAGAAGCAATTTATTAGGATAATAATAAGAAAGGTATAAATGTGTCCATTTCCCAGTCCATTTTAACATCATTGGCAAATGAGGGAATTACCTAAGACTGAGAACACAATTCTCATCCCCCTTCCTATCTACCCAATCTTCATTGTATCTACACATAGAATTTGGTTAGAGCTAAGCTTAGAATAGAAGCTAAGTGTACACAGGAAAAAAATGACATAGTAAAAGGATTGCCAGACTTATTTATATCAGTAATCTTTTTGAGTATTTTCAAAAGGAATGGGTTCTGAAGGTGCTCAATCCAAAAAAAAAAAAAAAAAAATCAAATTGGATCCTTACCAAAACCTCTGGTTACTTTGATCAGTTGGACTTATTTCTAGTTGTTTAATAAGCCTGTTGTCTAAAAATTAGTCCCAATGGAAACCCATGAGGAGTACAATGACAGAAATTCATTGTATTTAAGGTAAGAAGGATATAAGAACTTTGGAATATGGAATGTTAGAATGTCTGTCCAGATTGTAACCTGATTAACCATTCACTATGATTCTCCCAGACCATTCCTTTTATCCAGAGATTAGATAACTTTTATCCAAAGAGATTACAGGTAAGCGATGCCAAAGTAACACAGGTGTCTCCCAAAACACTGGGATTGGCAGTATTCCTGTTGTCAGAAACCAAAGACATGGGATTTATTTACAAGAGGCAAAGGTCTGTTGTGGCCCTAATGAACAATAGGGCCATTAGAATCATCAAAATTATAGGACTCATAGATTATTGTAGCTATAAACTGACCATGGATTTCCAAGTATCATAATTAATGTCCTCTCATTAAGGTACTATTATATCTCCAATATTAAAAAGTATTCTAGCTCGTGCATAGAGGCCTGATTGAAACCACCAAAATAGAGTTTTAATCCCCACTCAATTCCCACATTTGAGTAAAATTATAGATCCAAAGTCCTTTAAATAAAGGGAAGGTAGTAAAGATATTGCAAGAACACCAAAAGCTAGTTCTATCAGTTTTTTCTAGCATTTAGCAAAGGTGTCTTATCCATATACAAGATTAACTGTGCACTTGTGATGTGAAAACACATTAGATACCAGCTTTATTTTCATTTTGAGAAAACCACAGTGAGAAATTGCACTGCAATTTACTTCCAGTAAACGAAACTACAACAACGGACCTGGAAAATAAGGATAGAAGATAGCTTCCTTTATTTGTTAAAAGGGAACTATAGGGGCGCCTGGGTGGCGCAGTCGGTTAAGCGTCCGACTTCAGCCAGGTCAGGATCTCGCGGTCCAGGAGTTCGAGCCCCGCGTCAGGCTCTGGGCTGATGGCTCAGAGCCTGGAGCCTGTTTCCGATTCTGTGTCTCCTCTCTCTGCCCCTCCCCCGCTCATGCTCTGTCTCACTCTGTCTCTCAAAAAATAAGTAAATGTTAAAAAATAAAACTATAAAAAAAAAGTCCTCCTCAACAAAATATTTTATTGGTCTAAGTTCTAAACAATTACATTCTCTTCAATTTAATAATGCATGTTTAAATATCAAATTTGCATACTTGTCGCTTAGTAAATACTATATTCTTCATTGATGCTAAATTAGAGAACTTTCAGCTATAAAAGTGTACTTGAAAAACACTTGACTAACCTAGTCATTCATTTCAAGAAAAAGTTTATAGAGATTGGGTATCATTTAGATTTGCTTTCAGCACAGTCCCTGTCTCCATGTGTTTGAACAGCTAGTTTGAAATAAACAATTCTAATACAATAATTGTAAAGATGAAGGAACCAAATTTGAATAATATTAATTGAGGCATTCTATATGATCATTTAAATTTTTTTCTATTAAGTTGTTTTATTATTTTTTTAACGTTTATTTATTTTTTTGAGAGAGACAGAGACATAATACGAGTGGGTTAGGGGCAGAGAGAGAGGGAGACACAGAATCCAAAGCAGGCTCCAGGCTCTGAGCTGTCAGCACAGAGCCAGACGCAGGGCTTAAACTCCCAAACTGTGAGATCATAACCTGAGCTGAAGTCGGACGGTCAACCGACTTCAGCCACACAGGCACCCCATCTATTAAGTCGTTTTAACTGAAGGGACATTTGGAAACCAGAAGAATCAACCTCAAAGAAACAAAAATATTGATAGTACTGCAGTTTCTGGAACTTACTGTGTGATTTAATTTTTGTGACACTACGCCAAACAACCATCTGTTTAAGATATTCCTTACTATACACAATTCATATATATATATATAAATATATGTATATTATATATGTATATGTATATATACATATATATATAAATATAAATATACACATATTTGAAACTAAAGTTAATAAAAAAGAGTTTGATAAACTATCAACAAAAATGACAAGGAAACCTACTGAATGGGAGAAAATATTTGCAAAGGATATATCCAACAAGCAGTTAATATCCAAATTATATAAAGAAGTTCTATAATTCAACACCAAAAACAAATAAAGAACAAATAATCCAACAAAAAATAGGCAGACGACCTGAAGAGAGTTTTCTCCCCCCAAGGAAGACAGACAAATGGTCAATAGACACATGAAAAGATGTCTAACATCACTAAACATCAGGGAAATACAAATCAAACCACAGTGTAGGGTGCCTGGGTGGCTCCTCTGCTTGCACTCTCTCTCTCTCATTCTCTCTCTAAAAATAAGTAAAGATTAAAAATAAATAAATAAAATCTTAAAAAACAAAAACAAAAACAAAAAACCACAATGAGATATCACCTTAAATGTGTCGGAATGGCTAGAATCAAAAAGACAAGAAATAAGCGTTGGAGAGTATGTGAAGAAAGAGAAACCCTTATGCACTGTTGGTGGGGAGGAAAGTTGGTTCAGCCACCGTGGAAAAGAACATGGAGTTTGCTCATGAAAATTAAAAATAGAATTCTTATGATCCAGGAATCCTACTAAGTATTTATAAAAAGAAAACAAAAACACAAACTCAAAAAGATATGCATCCCTATGTTTAGTGGAGCGCTATTTACGACAGCCAAAATATGGAAGCAATCCAAGTACCCATCCACAGATGAATGGATAGATCAGATGTGGTGTATATATACAATGAAACACTACTCAGCCATAAAAAAGAATGAGATCATGCCATTTGCAGTAACATAGATCAACCTAGAGCAGGTAATGCTAAGTGAAATAAGTCAGACAGAGAGACAAATGCCACATGATTGTGGAATTTAAGAACAAAACAAACAAAAGACAAACAAAAAGCAGACTTTTAAATACAGAGAACTGGTGGTTGCCGGGGCGGGGGTGGGGTGGGGGGGCGTGGTGGATGGAGGGAATGGTGAAATAGGTAAAGGGGATTAAGGGTACACTTACTGTGATGAGCACTGACAGTGTATAAACTTGTGGAATCATCATATTATACACCTGCAACTAATATAGCACTATGTTAATTATACTTCAATTATACCTACATGTGTGTATGTGTTAGTCACTGATCCTCCCCCTAATAAAAGGGTTTGCTGTTCAATTCTGAGTGAGGAAAATTAACCAGTTTACTAGTTTCTATTAACAATACATACATGAATAAAATCAATTTTGACAAAGCAATTAGCAATATCTATTGGATGCTGATTCAGAGCATATACAGAGTTCTTGATAACCTTGTCCCAGGCCGGCAAGGTATTTTCATGGAACCTGTGTAGAGTCTTCAAAAGGTCATTCTGTCATCCCACCAAGCCAGCCACTTCAGCGGACCACTTCACGGTCTTTCAGCCATGGAAAGACTAGGGCATTCCATTAGCAGGAGCCCATTGTCACACTTCTTTTACTATGGAGTAAGTTCTTTGGTTAGAAGCAATGCTCGGGGGACTATCATGATAGCACACAGGAATTCTGTTAAGTGTATGGGTTGCTGTTTGGGCAGAAATATATTTGCAGGGAAGGCACATCCATATCCAGAGTAAGTGTCAATTTCAGGATGATCAAAATGCTGCCACTTCCATGACAGAAGAAGTCCAGGGCAATTCACCTGCCACCAGGTAGCTGATTGATCACACTAGGGAACTGTGCCATACCGAGGACTCAACGTTGATCTCTGCCGTTGACCGACTGGGCACGTGGCACCGGTAAGAGCTAGGTCAGCCTTGATAAATGGAAGTCCGTGTCACCGAGCCCATGCATAACCTCCCTTCCTACTACCAGGGCCATTCTGTTCATGAACCCCGCTGGGCTATGACAAAGGTGGCTGGGTAAAGAGGCTGGCTGGTAATTACAGAATGGGTCATCCTACCCACTTAATTATTAAAATTCTCCTCTGCTGAAGTCACTTTTGGTGACTTCATCACTTTAGCCAACATTATTCAATTAAAAAAATTGAAACATTTTTTTATCTTAAAAACTAAGATATAAGCCATGAAGGTACATTAAATAGTAATGTCTTCTATTTATTCAAAGGCTTTAAACTTCATTTAGAGTTTATGCTTCCCAAAGTTCACATAGGTAAGTTTGAGATAGGTTGGGTTGGGATAGAGGAATCCTGCTACTCAGAGCATTATACTTTTTTTTTTGAAAAAAACTTGGTGAGGAAGCTTAAATTTCAACCTCAAGGTCAAGGAACTGACGCTGAAAGTCCATCATTGATCTTTCCCACTGTGTCCAGTTACTATCATTTCATCTAATAAGGGACTCTGAGCTGATTTTCTAAGCCTAGGTATCTTTTTCAAGAGACCTGTAAACTAATCATAGCCATTTATTGAGTATTTTCTTTGTATTGGTCATTGTGACGGTGCTTTCATGTACTATCTTCTTTATTCCACACAACAATTCTATGATGTAGGTATGGACTCTCCTAGGAAGAAAATGAGACTGAAAAGGTTGAATAGCTTGCCCCAAATCATGCAGGAGATAAGTAGAATCAGAAGTCTCTCATTTGTGTCTGTCTGTAAAGTCTTTGTTCTTAATTATTATGTGATATTGCCTCCCACTGTCATAATTCCATTTTAGTAAATGCTAATCCCATGAACGCTTTTTAAGAGGGGTGTGTGTGTGTGTGTGTGTGTGTGCACATGGATCTGTACTCTATAAATGGCAAATGTATTTTTGTGTTCATATTCATATTTGTAATGTGGTAGTCTATAAAATGACTGTTTTACTCTCTAGCACAAAGTGCACATGAAAGTAAATGGTATGTCCCATCGTCAAGTACTAGCCTAGTCATTTTCACTCATATTAGATAGTTTCCCACTCATTACAACCATGAACCATAGGATTTATTGTTCCCTTTTTCCAGATCAATAAATTGAGTTGAGGGAATTAAGGTAATTTGCCCTAGCTGACATAGCTAATAATTGGAAGATCTGAAATCTAAGCCAAGGTCTATTAATTCCAAAGCTGGTGCACTACCCATGATAACACATTGCCTGTCTGGGTATTCATTATCTTGCTAACCAAACACCAAAAGTTTCTTTTCACTGGCGAACAGTTACTATTCTGTCTTAAATTGCCAGATACAATGAGATTTTTAAAGCCAAATTAAATAGAATATTCTTGTGCATGTTCTTGAGCTCCCTACAGCAAAGACATAGTGAAATGTCAAGGTGGCAGCCAGGCAATCTCAAATGAATTGCACTTTGCTTCTTGGACATAGTTAGGAAAACTCAGAACCCATAATAATGTTAAATCCATAAGCCCATTTCTGAAGTTTTTACTTAAGCTGATCTTACTTCAGTTCCATGAAGAAATAGTCTTTTTTTTCACAGGGGAAAAAACAAAACAAAATGCGTTATGCTAAGCTGCTACATTTTGCAATATATTTTATGAATGGATAATACCAGTATACTATAACCACGGCTTACGTTTTAATTTTAAATCCTGATATTAATAGATATTTCTAAATATAATGATTTTTCCTAATTTTAGCAGACTAAGAGTTTTTTCTTTCAAAATCTGTATCCTCTTGCAATTAAGATAGCATATCAAAAATACATCTTTGTACCTACTCCATGCTTTGCAACTTCAATTTTACATACTCAGAATAAGGTTCTTATCAAATACACCTAGAACATGAAGATAGTTGGCACAATATTGTTGTTATATATTATTATCAAATTCACCGCTGCTGTAGAGATTTTCTAAGTTATTTTATATATAAATGCCTCGATAGACTTTCTAGAACCATCGGAAGGAGCTCAGCAAATTTAGTATATTCTCAATGAATAAAAATATGACCACGCCACTTTTCCTCTGAAAAAGAATTACTGAGATACCTTGATACCCTTCTTAGGTACCTTTCTCTCCTTGAGTCTTTCTTTGGCCAATTTTCTTTGGGGTCTGAAGGTACTTGGGGCGTGATGTGGTGGGAGGTGGTATAACAAACAGTTCATTTAGTCAAGGAATATTTCTTGCCACACACTGTGTTCAGTTCTGAGGTAACAATGTTGAGCAAAAAGACAGTATAGTGCCAGGAATTCTACACGAGTAGAGGTATCCTACTACTGCCTCCTGCTCTGAACTTTTTTTTTCTTTTAATTCTTAGAAAATGATGATGCAAGCAGTTTAGCCATTCTTTGAGTGGCACTTATATAAAGAATTGTGCTAGACTTGGCACAAACTCCCCGGGATAATGTCTTTAGAAGTCCCATCTGGAAGACATGGAGGACAATGGGAATCAATGAGAATTGCATTATGCAAATCATAGTAGTATGGGTTGGTTTGGAACATTAACGCCTTTTCATGCGGTCAAGGCACCACCTCTCAAAGTTTTGGGGAGAACCGCTCCAAGGTTTGGACGAGAATCAACAAGGCATTGATCTGGAAAGAGCTATCCTATCAGCGAGTGAGTAGAATAATTGACAAAGAGATCACTTCATTGACTCCTTAACAACTAGGCAGGAACTCAGGGCTGGTTTCTCCATGCCTTCGATTTCTGGGAGCAAGAGACATCCTAGTCTTCAGAAACAGAATCTCAAGCTGATGAACACATCTTTCCTTGGGCAGCACTGGATGCGATACGGACATACACATTGGGGAATTTTAGTTAGGAGAGATAGGAAAGGTGGAAAACTCACCCTCACACTGAAGAGCGAGACTCTACCTTAACTGTTTCAAGCACAGGTAGAATAGAAAGGTGGCACTGTCAGAAGTAGCATTCAATGTTTTACTCGCCAGTATCCAACCTTCACAGTACAGTATGTGTTAGGGTATGTCCTCTTGCTGATAGATGAACATGAGTTTCTTATGAGACAGGGTGTGGAAGTGTTTCACCCTACTAAGCAAAGAGATTCTCCATCACCTGGGTCTTAAATTGGTTTTCTTGATAATGATACACACACATCAATCCTATTTTTCTGGGGGAGAATATTCTAAATTGCTCGTTTTGGTGATGGAGTTAGGTAAAGGTAAAATGTTCTATGAAAGTCTTGCTGTCGGGTCAGGGAATAGACATCTAGATACATAAAGTGGCATCTCACCTTGTATTTGTGGAATACAATTGTATTTATGGAAAACCAAGTGTCCAGAGGGATTACTTTGAATCCTTAAGTACATTTCGTTGTATTTAGGAAGGAAATTACACGCAGAAAAGTACATAATATACATTTTATAAATAGCTAGGGTCTTTCGTACAGATTCTTTATAAAGATGCAAGTGCTTTACTTTATTTATAATTATATTTCTTCTGAATTCTTTTTTTCCCCGTTAACAAGAAGGAAAATTAATTGGCTTGTGATTTAAGCCATAATGTAACAGGAAAAAAAGTCAGCAGGATATTAAAAATTCCTAAGCCTCTCTGTGACTTTAAAGATTCATTTGATTTCCATAAAATATCTAAAATTTTGTAGCCAGATGATATGCAAAAAAGAAAAGATTGACATTATTCACGAGGCCTGGGAAGCTCCACACACAAAAAATGTGCAATTCACATAACAGAATGCACAAATTACATTTTTCACTTCATATAACAATTCCTCCCCCCCTCCCCCCGCCATCTACACCACATTTGGTCCCTTATCTTACAATTGCTTTTGTACACCCCATTCAGGCCAGTCTTCTTCCACACCCGGCTTACTTAACCCATTTTTCCCCTCATCTCCAACCAAAGGTGCCCCTTCCCACCACTTGGCTACTAAGTTCCTTAAGGGAAACTCTGAGTAATTAGAAGATATTTTTTTTAAAAATTACTTTACCAAAGGTTTATCAGTTGACCGTTTCATAAACAAGAAAAAGAGCCCATATTCAAGGCAAAGTTTATCATCACTTCCTTGCCATGTTGTTTACTTGGCTTCGGCAATTTAGAACTATAACTCACTGTGTGTAGAGGCCGGAGTCTATACAGCAAGTGCATTTCAGTGACTGTGTTTGTAGATCTTAACATCGTGTGTAAGTGGATTCCTCATATGAGAACCAATACAGTCCCCATCAAAACAAACGAAGGGCATGACTACTTTCACAGATTCTTTCTGTCTGGTCAGGAAAATGTCTGGAGATAAAACCACTGGGAGATAATTGTTTCTATGATAAGCATATGGATGGCAGCTTAACAGTGCTTTGAGAAAGAACAGATCTGTATCTCTGTGAAGCAGATATTTGACATTGATATTTTTATCAGCCACTTCCTTTCGTATTTTTCTCAAAATACACTCAGCTGCTAACATTCTAGCCAGAAAACATTCAAATGAATAGAGATAATCCTTAGGCACTTGAAGCCCACTTCAGCCACAGAACTATAGGCAGCCTAAGGTTCTGGGGGATTTTGTACACTATCAGTTCCTTTTTCAGTGGAAAAAGTAATTAAAGTACAGAAACTTGGGCCATGAAGTATAATTAATTCTATTGTGAAATTAATACATTCTCCCAGCCCTCACAGTTCAGTGACTAAAGTCAGCATCTCAGCTCATCTACTCTACACCAAAAGGGAACACTTGCTTCAGACTTTATTTAAAACATAAAGAGCAGATCTAGGCCATACGGAGAGAACTTCTATCCTGGAGGCTGTGGGAAGGGAATCCGGAAAGATGAGGATAATATAATGTCTCACTGGAGAAGGAAGAAAATCCTAATTGAATTGAAACCAATGGGGCCTGGCTTTGCATGAGCGGCATTCATGGTATTCTCCCATACAGGATTGAACTTTATCAGTACTTAGTTATCCACAGATTTTTTAAGTGGAGACATTTTATACATTACCATTTTTGTGCCATTACAAACACACATAAATACGCACAGACACACGCGCAGGGAAGTAGGGTATGGCAGGCAAATTTCAATCACGTTTCGAGATTAAAATGTTTGAATAACTGCAATCTGAAGAGCGGATACTCTCTGTTCTCATCTGTAAGTTTCTCTTGGCCACTGAGTGTGAAACTCCCACTGCAGAGCTAATAATCGGTTGAACCTCAGAGGTGAGACTGCCACAGGAGGTTGGAAGTGATGGTGGTGCCATTGTTATCACAATCCATGGACTCAAAAAACAGCGAGCCCTACCGAGCCCAATTCTCAAAGTCCTGAGAGCACACTACTCCCTTAATCATGATGGCAGGGCAAAAATCCGTCTTAAGTTTTGTGAACTGATAGCAGCTTTACATAAGTAAGACATATGTTACCACAAGTAGACTAAGACCAGCATATAGATATAGATATGCATATAGATGATACAGATATATAGATATAGATATGTATGTAGATATAAATGATACAGATATAGATATAGATAGATGATATAGATGTAGATATAGATATAGATGGTTATAGATGTGGATATAAATACAGATACAAATGGATAAAAACAAATATAGTTATATATACAGCATACATGTATAATAAAGGAACTTACATTAAATCATTGTAAAAATTGTAAGCACTCAGAAACACAGGAAAAGCAATACCAGTAAACATCCATATGCTCATTACCCAGTAAGTCAGTTATCTGGATTTTGTGCACCTCCTTCATCTACCTTTTTGTCATCTCGACCCTTGTATTTCAGTAATAGTGACACACTTTATGGAAAACATGAAATTAACTCCTGTTTACCATTTCAGGAATAGCAAAATGTAAAAATAGTAAAAGAAACAGACTAGAAAGTAATTAATAAGAGAAGAACAAGGTCATAGAACAAGAAGTCTATATAGCTGTTAATTAAATGTAACAGATGCGTGCATGCAGCCGTATTACTAAAGAAATACAAATATAAAATATATATAATAAGGTATAACATATATATGCATATAAATAAAATCAAATATAAATATTTTATATATAACATAGGGTGGGTATCTATATATAATAGGTATATAATATATGTATATATATCTATATAAGTATATTATAGGTATATATATTCTCTCTATATAACTATATTTGTATATATCAATCTGTGTCTATCAGCTATTTATCTATCTGTACTTATATATACCTATAATATGCCTATTATGTATGTGGCATACCTACTATATATATTATATATATATATATATTATGTGTATTTGGATGGATATATATTTATTATATGTAATGGACACAACACTGTGATTTATTTTCTACTAAAAAAACATTTAAAAAGCTGTAAATATTGGTTGTCTTGGGAGAAGGAATTGGAAGGTTGGAGAAGGGGGCTTTTTATTCTGTGATTTTTTTAAATTCTACACTATTTGAATTGTTGTCATGTGCAAGTATTGTTCCCATTGAAAAATAAGTAGAACCATTCTGATTTAAGATTGCTTTTGTGAAAATCCCCACTTTTCCACTTAGTAGTTGTATGACTTTGAAGCGTTTGGTACTTTCCATCTTGAGGCTTCAGTGTTCTATATGAATGGGTTATTCATTACCTACCTTACACAATTATATAATGATTGGCACAAGGTAAGAGTCAATAAATAAATGCTAGTTTTATGAGTATTTTTAAAACTATTCCTTTATCATTTGTACGTTGTATAACTCCACTCACCTATATAAATGTTTTCTCTAAATTTTATATAGTATATATTTAAACTTTTTTAATGTTTTGATTTATTTTTGAGAGAGAGAACACACGCGCACACGAATGAATGGGGGAGGGGAGGGGCAGAGAGAGAGGGAGACACAGAATCCGAAGCAGGCTCCAGGCTTTGAGCTGTCCGTACAGCCCTATGGGGGGCTCAAACTCATGAGCTGGGTGATCATGACCTGAGCGGAAGTCAGACGCTTAACGAACTGAATCACCCAGGTGCCCCTATATTATATTTATTTAAAAATCTAATGAACATTTTATTTCCATAATGTTTCTAAAATTATTTATGTGATAAAAAACATTCTGCAGTAGCTACTGGATATGGAAAGTTTTAAAGACAAACTTCATATTCTACTCTAGAAAAATCTTACCTACCATTTTATACAGGGTCATGTTTTCAAAATTTTAGAATGCTGCATTTTTTTCAGTAAAAAATGATCGTTCATATCTGACGTCAAAAATGCCTAGGTATCATTTGTTCTGTATTTATTCAACAAATAGTTTTTGATCAACTGCTGTAATACAGATAAAAAAAATAGGTTGGGACTAAGATACACATTCATCAAAGAAAAAACAAAAACAAAAACCAGAAAAACGGCCTAGCCCCTGCCTTCAAGGGGTTTGGGGTGGAAAAGGGTAATTCAGAATGTGAATCAACATAACCACTGAAATGCTATCTGAATGGTAAAATGACATCAGCACCAAAACAGTCCCTTTATTTCACAGCAGGAAGCGTATTCCTAATTAAACATAATATTCGTGGGTCATGATTGAAACTGATCTAAATATTATTAGTGGAAATCCAATAATATAACCAAGACATCTAAACCACTAGGATTCTAGTGAACTGAGAAACCATAAAATAGCTTTGACATTATTGTTATTAAAATATTGATGCACACCTTGGCCATGGGGAAACAGCTATGTTTAATAGTGTCATGAGCAATAAAAACCCCTCAGGGTAAAGAAAACAAATAGCAACTGGACCATCAAACGTTTTCTTTAGCACAATGTTATTACAATGAGTTGTAGTATCAGTTCCGCCTTGAGTTACGTCACATGACGCAAGTTGAGTATGTAGCTGCCCATCCATTACCCTGTAAATTCCCCCAATCTTGGCCCTGACAAAGTCTAAGAACTCGTCTGTCTCCCCCAGCAAACTGACCTGGTACCAGGAGAGATTTCAGGAAGCTTTTGTGGATAGTGGCACTCATTTTAGAAGACTCCAGTTGTTATAAAAATGGAGGAGAAAGATGACGCTTGATTGCCCGCATGTCTTCTTGCAGTCGCTACAAATACAATGTAGTGGTTTGGGGTTAAAAGGAGGATTGAAGCAGTGAGAAGAGCAGGATTACCCGAGAAGATAGGTTGCCTCCAACATCTGGAGGACCCACCTTCACACTCTTTGACAGACACCCCCACCATCCCAATCACTACCATCTTCTTGCATGGGCTTCCTTAAGTTTGCTAACAGTGAAGATGCATATTAGCTTGACTCTGCCCCCTGGGAATTTCGATTTAAGGAGGTTTGGGAACTCAAGACTCCTGTTGGTACCGAACGCAGCTAAGTGCATTTCGCGGTGCAATTCCACGAAACCGCCCGATGTCTGGACTTGCTATACAGTTATTTATGAGAAGGTGTTATGATGTAGGGGAGAGATGAAGGGATTATTCCAGAAATAATTATGCTTTTGTTAATAGGTTTATCTGCATGAGTTTCACTTTAATTTTTCTCTCCTCTGCCCTTTCCCAATACAAGTTTTAGGAACCGTAATCACCACGTCCCATCATTCCGAAAATATACCAGGTCAATGAGACATATGGAGGCACACACCGTCTAAAAAGGTCCCAAGAAACTGGCTCAATCTCTAACAAAGCCTCGTGTGCAACGGTATCTCCTTACACTGCCGTGGCTGCACGTTAACACGCGCGTGTGCATATGTGCACACACACCCCCTGGTAAGTCCTTAAGTCGTTCAGCAGTCTTGTTCAACAGATTAAAATTGTGTTGAACAAAAGCCCTTCTGCTGCGTTCATTTGCAAAAGGATATAATTAGTTGTTCTTTCAGTTTCCTGGATAAAGATGGCACATATAAAAAAAATAATAGGCTGTCAATACCCTAAAGGGTTAGCAGTATGAACTCAACAAAGGAATACATTTTAAGGCAACAAGAGCTTACTTTTCCCTAATATCTGGGGTATTTGGGGGCCCCATATGGCATGAAAGCATGTGTTTAAAATGCAAAGTAAGCACTTTTATATTTTATTTTTAAGTCCTAAAATGCTTCTCGTCGTAATTTTTATGTTAAAAGCAAAACCACTGTAAATAGTAAGTTTATTAAGTAGAATAACATAGAAGAATAGCTCTAAAAAATAGTCCCGAGGGTCAGTTTTGACCCACAAAATGTATATTAACTAAATTATTTTTCGGGCTTCAAATAAGGCAATCGACGAGTATCTATTGAGGATATATGATCTTTCAGTCACAGTTTTCATGTACTTTTGAAAGAAAAAAAAGGGAAAACAGTGAGACAGATTAACCACAAATTGTACATTGCACCAAAGTAATGCGGCACACATTAAATTATTATGCTACCCTTTCTTTTTTTTTTTTTTTTTTTATGATACCATTTCTACCTATTTCCCATCTATATATTACCTGGAAGCTTAAAATCAGTACTGAGTGATTCTTACCCCCTTTTGGACCACCATCAGCTTGAAGAGGTTATGAAATCTTAGTCTAGGAAGTCACAGATAGTTGGGACACAAATTTTACACAAGGCATTGCACCCCGTGTCAGGGAGTTTATCTTCGAGGCCAGCAGGAACAGCAGGTTAGGATCAGCCACCTTGACGATGAGAGACATGATATCGCTCGAGTTCTGTTCCAATTCATCCAAGCTGAGACGATATATATTAAGACAGACTTATCTTTCCATTTCTTATATTAACTGTCACCAAGGCAGAGAACACAAGCCGACAGTCCCAACTGGCACCAGTAGCTTGTATCTTGCAATTCAATTGCAGGCTTTTACTTTCAAGCATAATTTCTCTTAAAATTTCTGGGAAGGACGGGCCGCTCCTAGGATTGGGTCCTGACGTTGGCAGGAGGCACTAAGGACTGTAAAGGTGAGAAACTGATAAGCATTATACACTCGCTGGAGGACGGGGAGAATTCTAATGGCATTTTGTCAGGAAGCCAGCTCCTTCCTGTTTAAAAGGTAGTATGTTCTTATGAGCAAATAAATGATCCCTCCCACCATTCAGTTACTTAGGAAGACAACCTAAGAGGCCACCAAACCTCCTCCACAAAGCAGGGAATAGCTTTTAGAGGAAATGACTGTGCAAGCCGAAAGTAGTTCATCAAGACAATGAATGCAGATGCGAGCCCGAAGGTGGGTTGCTCAAGTGCCCAGGGTGAACTCCCAGGCTCACAAGATCTGCACTCCAGGGAGGGAAAGCTCCCCAGAGCAACAGTATCAGGAGCTCAGAGGAACATTTGTGGGAGAACTGTCATGATGTATAGAGGGTATGTAGCATGCTAGAGAAGATTCTAGAAAGAAACATGTATCTAGGGATGTGCGTATCTACTGAAGCCCTAATAGAAGCTACAATGTTAAAACTCCAAAAGACAATTGCTTTTGCTGATATAGGACGTTATTGACCTTATATAGAACTTATATAAGACCTCATTAAGGTCTTCAATAACGTCTGGGAGTATAAAGGATCCTGAAATAAAAACGTGAACTGATGTATTCTAGGATTTATCTTTATTTGAACCCAGGACAGTGCCTAACACATAGCAGGCACTCAATAAATACTTATAAACTTGGGGTACCTGAGTGGCTCAGTCAGTTAAACGTCCGACTTCCGCTCAGGTCATGATCTCGCAGTTCATGGGTTTGAGACCTATATTGGGCTCTGTGCTGACAGCTCAGAGCCTGGAGCCTACTTTAGATTCTGTGTCTTTCTTTCTATCTGCCCCTCCCCCACTCATGCTCTTTCTCTCAAAAATAAAAACACTTCAAAAATTAAAAACAAATATTTAATAAACGAAGGAATCAAACACATGCTCAGTTTCATCTTATTAGACAACTGTTAGCAATCTAACAAGAATAGATTGTTGGTAATAACTAATGTCACACTTGCACCTACCTGTAAATATTTATAGTTGGCTGTTTATTTAACCCAGTGAGCCTTTTTAACATTCATTGAGAATATGTCACACAACATAAAATTCATCATTTTTTTGTGTACTCTGGAATGTTATCTTAGTACAGTCGCTGTGTTGTGCAACCATCACTACTAACCAAATCTAGAACATTCTCATCACCAGCCCCCCCCCCCCACCCCCCCCCCCCCCAAAAAAACCAGTACCTATTAGCAGTTAGGCCAAATGCCTCTCTTCTTCCAGCACTTAGGAACCACTAGTCTACTGTTCCTGTGGACTGGCCAATTGCAGTCATTTCATTTGAAGGGAATAAATAGGACCCTTTGTGACCTTCTCTGTTTGATTCTTTCCCTTAGCATAATGTTTTCAAAGTTCATATTGTAATAGGTAACAGTGCTTCATTCCTTTTTATTACTACCCATTGCGTGGGTAGGCTACATTTGTTTATCCATTCATCAACTGGTAGACATTTTTTTTTCTACCTTTTGACTATTATGAGTACACTGCTGTGAATATTCACGCACACATTTTTTTTTTGAACCTGTTTTCACTTCTCTCAGACATGTACGTAGGACTGGAATTGCTGGGTCACATGGCAAAACTATGTATAGCCTTTTGAGGGAGTCACCAACTGTTTTCCACAGTGACTGCACCATGCCACATTACTGCTGGCAATGTATGAGGGTTCCAATTTCTCCATATCTCCACCCAATCCTGTTATGTTTGTTCTATCACAGCCATGCTAGTAGGTCCAAAGTGGTTTGTCATTGTGGTTTTAATTCGCATTCCGTAATGACTAATGACGTTGAGCATCTTTTCACGTGCTCGTGGCCATCCGTATGTCTTCCCTGGAGAACTGCCTATTCAAATACTTGCCCAGCTTTTAATTGGATTATCTCTTTATTGCTGAGTTCTAAGAGTTCTTTATATTATATATTCTGAATACTAGATCCTTACTAAATATACATTTACACTTAGTTACCCCATTTTGGTGCCTTTCACTTTCTTAGTGTTCTTTGATGCACAGAAGATTTTATTATTATTATTACTATCGTTAGTCTGATAAAAAATTAGTTTATCAGTTCCCTTACGTGGCTTGTGCTTTTGGTGTCGTATCTAAGAAACCATGGCCTGACCAGGAAGGCACACAGATTTTCACCTTTGTTTTCTTCCAGGAGGGTGTAAACTGAGACAGGGGTACGGAATGATTATTTTATAGGTGTATATCCAGGTTCCTCAGCAGTGTTTTAATTTTAATGCTTAATCATTATTGTTCTCTTGTTATGGGATGCATGATCTCACAAAAGCCCTCTGTATGTCTGCTAGGCATACTTCCCTTTTTCTTTTTCCCTCTAATAGACTCTGTCCCTCTTTCCCAGACTGTCACCCAGGAAACTCCGTTGGGCTCCTGTGGTTGGGGTCCTACTGGGACAGCCTATACAAAAGAAATGACAGGTTGTTAAAATGTATATTTTCCATCATTAAAAATGAGGCATAGCATTTGGTAGGACACGGGATTTTAGAGGAATAACATAACATTATATAGTGTCTGGCTGTGATCAGTGGGACCTGAACATCTTCCAGCTTTCAGGCAATCAGAAGAAGGGTATCCATTCTGCCCAGGCTTCAGCTGTAGCAATTCTGCTGCTCGGCCCCTACAGCCAACCAGACCAATAATGAGGTCCAAAGAAACTTGTAGGGTATTCATGGAACTTGTAAAAATTTGAAGAACCAGACCTCTTAAAAAAATGGCTCATATTATTTTTTTTTAAAAAGTAAGAGTGCCATAGTAAAGCAACAGATGTGTCCTACTGAACTATATTGTCTTACTTTTTGCTTTATTCTTGAGGGGTACACAAAAATCCAGTGTGCATTGGGAACACTATATGGAAAAAAAACAGATACCATCTGGTTGCTAACACGTCTTTTCACCTTTATTATTTGAAAAAAAAAAAAAAAAAAAAAAAAAAAAGATCTGATACCGTAGCTGCTTAAATTTTCATCCAGAAAGAGCGAGTCATTTCTAGGCTGGTGAAGTAGTTTTTGAGCTTATCTCAGTCCCCGTGAAGAAAGTAAAGCCCGGGGAAACCATGTGACTTGTCCAAGGGCGCATGGCTCG